TAGTCAAGTGCGCTCAAGACTCAGAACCATTAATATGTGATAGGCCTATCCTGAGATCTTAAAATAGTAAGTGGTTACCAAATTCAAATGTGTTTCCCTTTGGTTCAACACTTGTGGTGTAGAATCAACACAGACTAGATGATCTTATCTCCATCTTCTATATTCACCAAAAATAATTTCATATTAGTGTATTTCAAAAGAAATAGATGTAAGGCAGATGAAGAGGACCTAGAAATTAAAGAACTCAGTTCAACTATACAATTTGTATAGCAAAAAGGAGATAAGATCTCCTCTGTTAAATTATTAAATGACATCCACCACTAATCCACTCTATCTATCTAGTGAATTGTATATATAGGTGTTAGAAAATATCTGAGTTGGAACAAAACCACATATATTGATGAGATCCTACGTGATGTTCCAAGTGGCATGTTAAATCATCAACATATGTCCAATGCCAGGCCATTCAAGTAGAGAAAAGTCTAATGAAAGAAATTTGAGTTCAAGATATTGCAATACGTATATGGAGTCCAATTCACCATCTTGAAGACTCCGTACACAAATATACATTTCAAGGAGGCAAATTGGGTTATAATCTTGAGTTAAAGAACACTTTTACCTTTTAACTATTTGCTCAAAAGTATTTAGTATTCTAAACTTACATACGGTTCAATTTAACCCTTTAACAATTGAAATTCTACATTGGGAAACCTATTGTTAATTCAATTGATATTAATTTTTTATATGGTACTCATGTCTAATTTTATGAGTCTTTTCTCTAATTTTTAATGTTCTTTTTTATAGTTTTAAATCAACTAATGATTAAAGTTAATTTTTTTAATAGTAAGATGCTTAATGTACTATTTTCAAATATTGAAGGATGAAATACACGGGATGAAAATTTAGTATACTAATTACTTCTGAATGAATAATTGAAGGGGAAAATGCCCTCGAACAATGTTCCTTATATGAGCTCAAATGTTGGCTTGAATTGCTATTCACGATTTGATATCACTTTTGTTTTTCAAATGTATAATAGCAGTGGCTATAAATTATCAGAATATCATGATTTTTTTCCCCAAATCTGCATCACAGTCAACGGGGCACAGTGTTTTTTGTAGTTAAACTCATTATGTGGTATCTACGCAATTAGATTCCCATGTTTATGGAGGAGGAAAGAAATAATTAAAGAAAGAAACTGACCAGGTGATCTTAATGGAGCTGTCATGTTCATCTTCCCTAAACGCCTAGAGCTGACTTCAAGGCTCATCCATCACTGTTGGTGCCTGATAATTGACTACTCATAAGAGATTATCAGCAAATTCAATATTCACATTGAATGCTTGGTTCGTCTATGTAGTTTTAATTTTGTGAATTAAGCCAGCTAGACGACATCTTCACATTTAATTTTAATTAATATATGAGGCTGTTTCAATTCGAAGGCATGAAAAGTTGTTTTGTGAGTAACTAGTATCAAATAAAATATAAAATTTACCGTTAAAGGAAAATTTTATCTTTAAACTATAGATTTGAGAGCATTTGAAAGTCTAAACTCATTTTTGATATAATGCTCTTTTTCAACTTTTAAAAACAATGCAATGTTGTTTATATCATTAATAAAAGTTAATTTTAACTGTTAGTTGATAAGAAAATTACAAAAAAAGGCCTTAAAAATTATAAGACATGGCTAAAAAATTACAGAAAATGACCCCAAATTATAGATAAGGACAAAAATTGCAAAAAAATGACCAAGAAAATTCTTTTATTCTTTTCTGTAATTTTTCAGGTCTTTTCCTGTAATTTTTTAGTCAACTAATAGTCAAAATTAATATATCGGTAAAAGCAACATTGCACCATTTTTAAAAGTTGAGAAGAAACATTATATTAAAAAAGAATTTAGGGTCCTAAATGCTTTTGAACCTATAATAGTGGAGCAAATTTATCATTTAACCCTAAAATTTATAAACTACAAATAATACAGTTCGTTTCTCAAATTCTATGTAACACACATAGACCCACCAAGTTTACTAACAAGAGGTCAAGGATGTTTTAACTTAGTTACCAACTTAGCAATTGAGTCAAGTTTTCAGTGGAAAGGTGATATATGACATTGATGAATGTACAGAAGTATATATGTTGGTATAGATGAAACCTATCAATAGGAAATCACTATCAAAATTTGCATTGAAAACTCATTGCATCAGTACAAATGGATTTTGCAGATTGAGTCAACTAGTTGATATGTGACATGAAAATGAGTTTTTACATTGCAGACTGAGTCAACTAGTTGATATGTGACATGAAAATGAGTTTTTACATAAAGTTCAGTGTTTGATGTTACCTATCTCTTAATTAATAAAATAGAGTTAATTTCATGGAGTAAAACACACAATATTTATGCACTAGTGCTGTAGGAGATAATAAATCACAGGCTCAAATGACATTATGTGATAATAAAATATCAGACTTTAGTTATGTTATTCAATATTTTTTTAATAGTGAGTCAATCTTATTTGTTTAATTAAGTTTCACCATAGAGACTATAAATGCTATAACATTTTAACAAAAGAGATAACAATAAAATCTCAAAAAACGGAATTAATGACAGATTCCTGAAAAAAAAAAATAAAATAAAAAGAATTGCAAATAGGAAATGGTTGCAATTCTTAGGATGACTGATTACAAATTGGTCGGTGTTCATTAACAAAGAATATAATAATAGATAATAATAGATATTGCATATACTGATTTCTACATGCTTTTCTCTCTTGGTGCTACCAAACATGGCCTAAGTAGAAACAAAGATCTTTCATGTAAGATGACTGGATCTCAACAAATGAGTAAAATTCTCACTGAAAGGTTATTCGACATCACGTTAATGCGCACATCTAAAGGCAAGTATTTGTTACAAATCTTATGTTGATGAGTCTCATAAATGAAGTGGGTTTATAAGTTCAAAAAGCTCACCCACCTAACATGCTAAATTTTCAGATAAGCTCTTCCACCTAACTTGTAATATTGGTGTTTTTATTGAGAAACTGGTGTCATGAAAAGAGTTATCCATGAGGTTTCTAATTGGCAAATTGAAATGCCATGGAGTGATCTCAAACAGGGTGTCATTGTTATAAGTTTAAAAGACTCTCCCACCTAACAGACTAATTTTTAAATGAGCTTTCTTTTTAGATTTGTCGTTGTAACAATATTTCAATTCCTACTAATAACATGCATATATGTCACTCACTATCAAAAATTACTGTTCAAACCTAGTCCCATTGCTACAGTTTGATCCTGGAAGCTATCAAACTGATACATGATTACAATAATAGGTTGCTCTAGTTCTTAGGCATGTCACAAATCTTTTACATGAACTAATTAACTTGAACCTATCAACAGAATAAAATCCCTGTAGTATGGTGATATGTGACCTTTACCTAAAGGGACATCATAAGCAGAGTCTTTTTCGGTTCTTAAGCAGAACACGTGTGTGTTTGTGCCAACAAGCCTCATATTAAGATTCACTGCTCCGACACTTAGAGCTGGTATTGTCATATTATGTTTAAAGAGGGCCAAGTGATGTATACATCAGACCAACACAAATACCTAAAAAAAGATAATTAATTAAACTTGTGAATACTAAGTGGATGTGTATAGTTCTTCTTTGAGAGAGAAAAAAGGGTCACTCCACCATTATTTCTTTTCTACTTTGGTGGGACTTCACTTATGGTATGATGATGATTCTTCTGAGAATTTTCCTGAGAAAATTTTTGAAGGGAACCAAGCCAGGACATTTTTCTTATAATCTGAATAATAAATATTCGAGTTATTATTATTATTATGGATTCACACTATTTAAACTTGCTAGTGGTTGGAAATTGAGATATTACCCACTATGAGGGTTAGTATGATGAAAGGGTCTTAATTACAGAAACTACCTAAAGAGGAGGCAGTGAGATATTAATGGGCCATAGTAAATCTACCACTAGTCAAAAAGAACTTACTTGTCAAACAATATACTTTCAATTTGTTCAAGAGTGACTTCTAAGCCCTACAAATTTTGGTGGGATCTAATTCTTTCATCTTTTGCAAACCAAAGAATTTAAAAGAGGCAGATGGGTAATTCTGATTCTATCAGCTGTAAACTCTAAGGCTAAGTGTACTGCAGATAGTCTGGCTATTAATTTCATTCAAGGCAGAAATAATTAATTTATTTCAAATAAATCATCATTATTCAGACAAACTGAATAATTTAACTTTATTTTTTGTTAAAGATAAATTAATCTGTTAGCGTTCTAAATCAATTAAAAGAATCAAAATTTACTGGAAATAATTGTCATCTTTCAGCTCAAAATTGGGAAGATTCCCCTGACCTCCTTCCACTTGCCTAAAAAAGCTTTTAGGTATGAAGTCTATCTTTCTTTTACTTCTAAATTGCACTCTTTGCACAATTGCTGATTTAAGCTTTGGAGAGGGCTATGATCGCTTAAGTATAAGGTCTCGAGTTAGAATCAATGTAAATGAAAAAAAACATCTTTGACAGAGCTACACCTAATTGAACCTGACAATACTTGATTTTGACCTAGTCAAATGGTCATCTAAAAAAAAAAAAAAAAACCTTTGGAGTTTTACTGGAGTGTTCCTCCATATGGTGATAAAGGAAAATAACCAATTTGTATTGATTTTTCTGGTTAATTCATAATTTAAAAATATTTACTATTATTATTATTTTTTTCTCTTAGACATCTGGTAGTACTAGTACATGTTCCTGGCCAACACCCACTTAAATCCCAATTCCATTTGTAATTGACGGAAGCATATAGAATCCAAGGAAACACAGCTGTTTGCCCCCCACAATCCCCAACAAAAACATCTGGTATTGACTACTACATCGCAAGGATATAAAAGGTATTATATTCTTTCTTATTTACTCCACCACTCCCTTCTCTAAAAACTCAATTTCACATCATGTGGGGTCTCATCCACAAACCTCCATTAATGAATAGTCCCTTCTTCTTCATCATCATCATATAAAATTATGGCCAAAGTTATTAATTATATATCCTAAGCTAATCTTCCCACTATTCTCAATCATTTCAACACCCTTTCTTAACTTTGCATCCTTAAAAGCCCCCTCTGGTTAGATATTGCCATCCCTCTTGCTTTCACCCCATAGGCATACTTTCAAAGCTCCCACATATTAAAGACGGCCTCTGCTTCCTCCATGTCCATGGCAGGGCTTATAGACTCAGAAAAGAATCACAAGGTGAAGTCCTTCCACCGGAGAAATGATTCTGGTGAGCTTGATGTGTTTGAGGCGGCAAGGTATTTCTCAGGGTACAATGAAGCTGTTGGCTATCATAACAATGACCCTGGTGTTACTCAGAAGATCATGAGAGAAGATCAGAGAAATGGACACAAAGGCAGAATCAGCTTAGACATGCCCATGAGAAACTTGTTTCCCCAGCAGTTTCATGGAGTAGCGGTGGAGAAGCAGATCATGAAGGAGAAGAAACACAAGCAGCCTAGCTCACCAGGAGGAAGGCTTGCCAGCTTCTTGAACTCTCTCTTCAGCCAGTCTTCATCTAAGAAGAAGAAATCAAAGTCCAGCTCACAGTCTATGAAGGATGATCAGGATGATCAGAGCCCAGGAGGAAGAAGAAGAAGAAGAAGCAGCATTAGCCATTTCAGAAGCTCAAGCAGCACCGCCACGACTGCTACCACTTCAGATTCAAAGTCCTTATATTCATCCTTCAGTTCAGTGGGGTTTAGAACACCTCCTCATATACACACCCCTACAAAGAGCTGTAAGGAATTCAGAACCCTCTCAAAGTATGATAATAGTATTGAGAATCTAAAGTCCTTCACCTTTCATAATGATCAGTTGTCGGATGATCACAAGAAGAAGAATGAGAATTTCAAGTACAGTAATGGGGTTTTGGAAAAACACAGGAACTGGGGTAATGAGTTGTCTGAGAAGGAGTTCAGGAAGTTCAATGTTGAGGTGGATGATGATGATGGTGATGGTGCAGAAAGTGATTCAAGCTCTGATCTGTTTGAGTTGCAGAACTATGACTTGGGTTACTGTTCAAGTGGTCTGCCTGTCTATGAAACTACCAACATGGATAACATCAAGAGAGGAGCACCAATTTCCAATGGAGCACTGTGATACTGTATACACATACATATATAATTGGTTATTGTTGAGGTAGTTACAATCTTTGAAAAGGAAAATCTGCTATAGTTTGCCTCTCTGATCTTCTTTCCAACTTTTGTCCATGCTTTCTCTTTTCTCTGTATGTACAGTTTGGAATGCTTGCTTTGTCTTATCTTTTATCCACTTTTGTTTTTCTTTAGGACTTTGTTTAGAGTGCCAAACTGAAAATGCTGTCCGTTAATGGGTTGGTCAGATTTATGTTCTGAGTTCTGATTATAGTAGTTTTCACAATAGATTACTGGGAAACTGAAAAGGCTTCAAGCTCATGTTATTCATTTGTAAGTGAAGCCTTTTGTTGTTTAATTTTATAATTCATAATGAAGTTCATAAATGGCATAATAAACTAAGCCATCCAAAAAATATTCCAAATAATAGATTATTCAAATCATGTGTCCTCTTTGCTGCCCCCTTTAATGCTTAAAATCTCAGCCTTTCATTTCAGCTAATGGTTGGAGAAATTTCATTTAATTTCCTTAAATGAAAGGATGAGATTTTAGGCATTAGAGATGGCAGCAAACACCCCAAATCCCTAATTAAAATGGCTCACTTTCCTATTTCATTTTGGGATATGAGAGGTTAAAGTTTTCATGTAGTTAATGAAGGATTTACCAACAAGTGCATAGCTCACCTGGTTGAAAATTATGCTAGCTTAATCAAAGGTTTTGAGTTTAACTGTTAGATATGCAGCTGTATTAAATACTCATTGAGAGGTCTTGTCACCCTTGTGGTCCATCCCAGCTTGATCAGAATTAATCGGAGTCTGAAGGACTTTAGATACGGCGTGCACAAAAAAATAAGGATTTGTGTTCACTGCAGTGAAGTCATTTAAGCTTAGTTTCACAGTGAAGTTGATATAATGCCAGAGAATGGCAATTGATTAGAGCTGGGAACTTGAACAGAAAGCAATTGAAGAGCTTTTTTTTTTCTGTAACGAATCTGACGTGACATCACCTATGATGGGATTAGAATGACAGATAAATTGAGAAGACTAAAGAGAAAATCTCATCATGTTACATTACTTCAGTAAAAAAATAAATAAATAAAAAAAATCCGAGGTCTTTTACTGTTTCATTCTTGGATAACTCAATAATTAAAAGGTTAATGCACATAATTAAACAGCTGTCCAATCAAATGATCAGACATAAATATAAAGTCAAGTAAATCTTGTTTCTATATATTTCCATAGTGTTGGAGACAAAATGCAGACAAACAACAATTTACAAGGAATTCTCAGGATTAACCTTATGAGCTTAAGGTATTTCCTAAAATGCCACAGAGAAATTTTATTATAGAACCATACTTGTTCAGTTTCTTGTCTGGAATGATTGATTACACACTGACACTGAGAACAAATATTAGCATATACCAACCTCATGCATCTGTCTTGACTCTAAAGTCTTAATCAATATCAGTCCACCTTCCCTGTAATTATAAATTGCAACCAACAGAGTTGAAATGACTCTCTCTTTTACCCCCTCTGCTTTGGCTAGCAAAGATACTTGAGACATGGAAGAAAGTAGACAAACCCCGAGTAATGTTTATATCCAACTCCAAATTCCATGTTTAATGTTATGTTATAATGTGCAAATGTGAGTGGATTTGAGTTGATATAGAAGTCCCACGTCAAATAAAAATAAACTTAATAATAGATACTCCATCCGATTCAAAATATAAGTATTTTCTCCTAAATAATTTTGGTCCAAAATATAAGCATTTTAGTATTTATAAAAAAAAATTATCCTTATATTTATTAACTTAGATTTTTGTCGTGAATTCATGACTTCCTTTTCACGCACCATAAAAAAGAACGGAAGGTGAAAAAGAAAAACAATATATATTTTTATAAGAATAAAAATTTTATTGGTATATATACTATTGTTAAAATGTGCTTATATTTTGAACTTATATAATATAAAAGAACTCAAACTCTGTGTTTTGAAGGTTTGAGCCACAACATGGTATTTTTCCATTGCCTTGTTCTCATTCCTGTTTTCGGTCTTAGTTTCTCCCTGTCCCTTACATATTAGTTTACCTTTTCCATTATAACAAGTGTGACCAGATTATATCACCTTCATTTCTTAACCAGTAAATTGTGGATCCTAAAATAAAAATATCCTGAAATCATTTAATTCAGATAAAGAAAGAGAGAAAAAGAGACGAGGAGATAAAAATATGTCTTTGTGAGACCCACACAAAAGTTGGAATAAATAGCATACTTCTTTGTCTTCCTCACTCTCTTTGTTTTACCTATTTCAGGTTATCTGTTTAAAAAGTAAATACGTCTGGATTATTCGCTTTGCTACAAAACATTCATCATTTTACTGTACAAATCTTGACCATTTTTAATAACAAAAACTGGTGAAAGGACCCAAAGAATCTATTTTTCCCCTATTCATGCCAAGATTTGTCAAAAAGGCAAAAACATAAAATAAAGAAAGTTGCATCTGTTAACAAACATTTGATTTAATTGGTAAGGGAGTTGTATCAACTTAACTAGATGTTTTGAGTAGGGTTCAAAATAGGCCAGGCTTCTATTGAGGGCCTATTGCCTGGCCTACTTAGGCTCAAGTTAGCCAATTTACTAAATAGGCTTTAGGTAAGTTTAAACTTTTAATTAAGCATATTTAATTAAATAGGTCAAGCTTATTTTTTCAAGGCCTAAACTATGTGTCCAATAGGCCGGTCTATTTACACACACAGAAATCAAAAACACATCGGTTTCACCATTTAATTTTTAATCAATACATTCTTTTTTTATTTCTAGTTATATTTTCAATCATAATGAACTTATTTATTAATTTTAATGTTGTTACTTTATTGTTATATTGTATTATAGTTGGTAAATCCTTTCAATTATTGCATATTGTACTTGATAAATCAGGTTATATATTGTATACTGTAATAGTCCTATAATATATTTAAAACATTTAAAATTAAAATGCTAGCTTATTTAAAATATTTACAATTAAGTAAGCTTTTTAATAGACTTTCAGGCCAAATTAGGCTTTAAGTAAGCTCATGCTTGAGCCATGAAAAAAGCCTTATACATACTTCAGGCCAGGTTTAGGCATCTAATCTGCTCAAGCCTATTTGACCAAAGATTAGCTTGACCTCATCTATTTTCACTCCTAATTTTGAGTTCACGTTTAGGAATACAACCATGTTGGGTGGCTTCAATTGAAAAGGTCCCAATTCGATATGGATTAATTTGAGTTGTTAGCTTTGTTGTAGTTAATGTGGATTAATCTGAATTATCAAAAGATAAGTCCTCCATTATTTTCATGAAAGGAACTTCTAAGGTATAAATACCAGAGAGTAAAAGTGGGCTAGTAAATAGACTAAAAAAGAGAGAAGTTTCACGTGCATAAAAGTGGGTCAATATTGGCCAACCCAGTTGAAAATTGACCATTTGCTCCCTGCGTGTAATGTAGATGTAGCGTTAGGCACTTTTTGTGAAAATATTTTTGTCAAAAATAAAAAAAATATATTAACTTAAAAGAGCTTCCCAAAGCCTCATTTACCTAATTTTGAATATGGATTTGAAACCTTCCATTTATTTTCTTGATGTGCGCCTTCATTTCAAATTTGAATTATCAGATTTTAATACCATGTTTTTAGATCAGAGCCAATTAACATTTTTCCCAACATATATACAGAAACGTGCAGCTTAATGGTGTTTTAACAGTATTGTGAAATTCATGCCTATGCTACTACGCCTTTGAGCTTTCAGCCAACTCTCCCCTGTTGCATACTACTTCTTGAGTTTCAGTATTACTTTTACAATTTTATCACCCTATTCATTTTATCAAAAAGTCTGCTTAATCTTAAAAACCTCTCAATAATTGTGTCAAAATAATTTTTAATGACAGTATTTTTAAACACAATTCAAATTAGATTCTATATTGCTATTACCAACAAGCTTTCAAATATTCAGATAGTTTATATATATATATAGAAAGTACCTTGGTGGGAACGCGGGGATAGTGCGAGTGTGGGGGCATGGTTTGCATGCACGCGCGTCGGCAATAAAAAGCAAAGAGAGGGAAGAGGAAGAAGAAGTTGAGGATAGGCTTAGGCTTTTGAGGAAATGATGAATCAGAAGCCACACGAGGGTCCACCAAACAAAGTAATAACTATCACTTTCACAGTGTGAGACTTTAGTGGAGGGTCCAATATTTTAAGCCACTAGGAATTACCCCATGATGAAAGAAAAACACTCATTATTCAACCAAATGTATGATATACGTGGATTGTATTGTAGAGAGACAGCGTGTGTGTGTGTGTGTTTGGTTTTGTTTTAATATATAAAAAAATAAGGGCGTGTTAGTTTCTCGTTTGCCCCCTTTTACAAATTATTAGATTAGATAAATATCCAAAACTACTATTCGCATCGCGCGCTCAAATATTGTCAGACTCAAATGAAATAATTATAAGATTCAAACTTCAACCAAATGTTGAAAGATAATGAGTCCTTGTTTAGTCTTTTTTAGAGTTGAGAATATAGGTGGTCTCACCCTTCTCGATCTTAAGGGCCTGAATTCTAAATTTAATTTTTTATTTAACCTTATTTCTCAAGTCTAATTTTTATGTGAAGAGTTTAGGGCCAAACCCATGAGCCCTTTTTTAAAAAATAAAAAAATAAAATAAAATTAAATATTATAAATTAATTAAAATATTTTAAAAAAAAAAAATCAAAATCCTCATAATTATTTAGAAATTAAACAATACAATTTAAAAGTCTAGTAATAAATTTTAAATCTTGGTTAAAAAACAGTTCATTTTTTTAAATACACAAGTTTTATACTACACACTGATATTTATTAAATTATATAAATTAATTTTAGAATATATTAAAATTAATAATAATATAATGCGTGTCGGATCAGGTAAGTAAGTTATTGGTTTTAAATACGTGTTTCTACCAAAAAAAAATAATAACAATAATCATATATAGGGCTTAAAGAGTCGCCTGGCCTCGAATTCTTTTTTACAGGGCTTATTGAGCCAAGCCCTCAAGTTCGATTATTTTAAAAAAAATTATTTTTAAAATCTGAATTCTTATTTAAGTAGGGCCTCCAAACCCAACCTTCCAAACCTGACCTTTATTTCTGGCTATAGACTCCCTTCCATTGAGGGGGATTGGCAAAAATCATGCATATATGTATAAAGAATGTTATTGGAGGCACGAATGATAAAATATGATAATAGAAAATATGTGTTCTTCATTAAAATTGTCAGTTCACTATCTTAAAATTATCAATTATTAATTTTTAATTATTACTGTTTAGTTGTCAATGGAGCAA